TGTCACTGCGCCCAACACCCTGAGACATAATTTGACAAGTCCCATGTGCCTGCAATTTCACCAGCACCCTTACCCTTCAAAACCGGAAGACAATATATAATGCTGACGTTACAGCTTAACTCTTTCCCAAGGAGCTCTACTGCTACGGAATACTGTATCACGCGCGATAGAGTGTCTGTGAAAAGTCTCCTACTGGCAGAGTTCTTGAAGAGAGGCCAGAAACCTAAAAATAGAATAGAATATGTTTTTGAGGATAATGACATTAAGAGCCGTGATTCATGACGAAAATACATTTGATAAGGAAAGGAGCACGCCCGTACAATGACGCAAACGCCCCATAATAGTAGAGATCAATTAAATCATATACCAGAGGTTATCTCACAAATATTTATTTACAGCTATAAACACAAACACGCTTTGAATACGCATGCACCCTGAAATGCACAAAGAACTATTTTCAAATGCTTACGTTATATGCACTTGATTATTATTCAGCCTGTACTTTTAAAATAACTGTCAAAGGTATACCTAACAAAACTGGAATACAAAAATTTAAAATTTTATTTCTTATATTTTAGGATTTAAATACTAGTATATGCAAATCTATTGTTGCACCAATCTATAGCCGGATAACTTATTAAGGGTGAGGCCAGACGACCGTAATTTTGTGAGTCATGCGTTTTTTGAGTTGCGGAGTTTGCGCTCGACCGAAATTCGGTAGGAGCGCCAGATGAACGTATTTTATTCAGTTGCTTTTAAGTGTTTATACGGGGTGTTTGAGTCGTAATAGTGTAGATCCATTTAAAATAGTATGCATTTATGAAGCATTAGAAGACGATGTTAAAAGAAGCTAGGTACATTCACTCAATATGAAACGATTAAAGTGCGGACAGTTTCATATATTTACAAGTTTATGTTTACATCCAGATCAATTTGTTAAGTACTACCACATGCCAATAAATGTTTTTCAAGAATTATTAAGCCTAGTAAAACATTTTATCATTAAGTCAGATACAAATATGAGACAAGCCTTCAGTCTAGAGGAAAGACTAATAATAATAACAATAATCAAGTAAGTTGTTCAATTATTTATATTTTAATCTCCGTATCGAACATTTTCGCAAGAAACGTATATACTCACGCGCATCCTATACCAAAGTGTCCACTTCCCTCACCCGTACCTACACCCGCGACAGCCCTTCACACGATGCGGCGGAAAGTCAGTCGTCATTACGCCCGTGAGTCGGCAGATAACTCATTTGCGTCGTCGTGTGAAGCAAACCGTACTTGAACCGAATGCAACGCAAACTACGCCACTCAAACTACGCGACTCACAACTCACAAAATTGCGCTCGTCTGGCCTTACACTAAGACAACCATATGTCATTTACATTGTTTGTTATTTAATAGGATAGGATGGGCCAATAACTCAAAAGAACTACTAATCACAATACAAGACAGTAGTAGAGTATTTAGTACCTATTATTACATCAGATGTCGCGATGAATATCCGATAACAATTTTTTAACTTTTTTTCTAATTCGTTTTACATTGACAAGTTATAACAAACAAATCAACTAGATGGCGCTTATTGCACATATTTTTATTAATAGTGCCGGCAACTCTTTTGTTTTGTTTAGGATTAGCGCCATCTATCCATATTTTTTTTTTATAATATCAATATAAGTGACGGTACGAACAAGTCGTGCGTCTAATGGTAAATTACACGCCTGTCTATAAGAGTTGCAGTGCCACTCAGAGCTTTAAATCGCAAAAATCTGAGGGGCACTGCCACTGCGCCCGTCATGCTGAGACAAAATGACAAGTCCCTTCAAAACCGAAACACAGTAATGGTCACACTCTGCTTGGCGGCTGAAATAGGTAAGGTGGCAGTACTTCCCTGGACGAACGAAATTTCACAAAGAACTCTGCCGCTACTATAGTGCTATAGTACTATAGTGCCGGCAAGTTTAAAATATACCTAATAGTTTGTAACACACAATGCCATCTATTGACAAGCATATGGACTCCTCCTACGTAAAGTATTGTATGTCGAAATTGCCAAGTTTACAGGGAAGTGTTATAAAGTTTTCCGTTTCATTCGGCAAAGCTCGTTGCTCACATAGAGTGATCATCTAATAGATCATCTTACCGATATTTAGAATTTTATAATACTCTATGTGAGTAACGACCTTTGCCGAATATAACTGAGAAACGCTAGTCACGTATTATGCTTATTTCAGTGAATTCAGAATTTTAAAAGGCTCAGCTGTAAACTTGGCAATTTCGACATACGATACTTTACGTGGGAGGGGTCGATATATTTGTCCAAGTTCAGAAAAAAAAATTGTCTCATGATCAATATTCGAATATTACAAGGAAAACGAACTGACATCTTATATTTCATATTAAAGAATTAATAGTTATCCACGGACGTTTACATAATATAAACTACTTCCAGGCTATTGATTAGCGCCATCTAGACTTAAGACGGAATTTTGACCTTTTTCAGAGTTACGATCCGGTAAGAAGATAAGCGGGCCTTTTGAATTATTGATTCATGGTAATAGCATTAAGCCGTCGTAGCCTAATGGTTCGAGCCACTGCCTCTCAAGCAGACAGTCGTGGGTTCGAATCCGGGATCGCACCAATAAGTTTCTCGGAATTTACGTGCGATATTTAATTTGAAAATTTATCATGAGCTACATGTTGAAGACGGTTCACAACCCGCATTGGGTTAGCGTGGTGGACTATGGCCTAAACCCTCGTCTGAGGATAGACCCGTGCCCAGCCAACACTGGGACGTATAAATAGGTTTGAAAAGTCATAGCATAGTTTTTATAATTATTAATACAAAGATAATAATAATAATTTATTCAGTACGATGACAGTAATATCATAGGTGACAAAAACACATACAATTTATGGTTGTACATAAACTGACAAAAAATCAGGCCATCAATCAGTCCCCAAACTAGGGTAACTACCTGTACTATGGGAGCTGATGACGATCCTCCACCAGTAAACAAAATTACAAATATTTTACAAGCGGTTATGAGGACGTGTACAAAATAGTGTGTAAGTAATGTAAGTAAATAAAACAGCACAAACTGTACACCAATATAGTATGTACCTATACAGTGGAATTTCTTTTTTTCTATTTATTAATTACGTTTTACTGCAATTTTGCTATTAAATTATTATTGAATGGATATTCAATTGTTTTTTGTGAAATTACTCCACTAGTTTGTTATAATTATTAATACAAAGATCACTTAGAAAAAAATACTTCGATCCGGCCGCATTCGAACCGACGTTTACGCTATGCCAACTAAACTACGGAACGAACCAGCGGACCTTACGAACCTTTCCATGTGCTTGTTTGTCGGATCTTTGTATTTGGTTTCAACGACTTTTCAGCCGCAAGTGTTCGATCTTTGTATTAATAATTATAACAACTAGTGGAGTAATTTCCCAAAAAATAATTGAATATCCATTCAATAATTTTTTTTTTAATTACCGGCTCAGTGTTGCCGTTTCTACCATTTTTTCTACTAATGATCTTGGTAACTTTTATCTACAATATTATATTATACTTCAATAATAATATTATTACGCAGCAATATAAATATTAATTTAACGTTACACTAACTCTTAGGTAATATGTGTCCTCACCATAATTATGGTCAGATAAAGGTGTTCCACATATACAGATACATGTATAGATATAGCTACTAGGAGCGACATACAGTTGTTAAAACCATCAAATTTTAAAATTGCTTTTTTCGAATTCCGGATTTCCGGAAATGGTTTTTACTGCATCGTAAGACAAAACTACTAACCTAGTCGGATCTTAAAGTAATTTAAAAAATGCAGCAGATAGGTCAGTCTTTGACCAAAACCGAGAATAAATAAGTAACGAGAAAGGTCACTCTCCGCCCCTCCCTAGCTTTAGATACGGCACCGCGCCCCGTATATTGACGGTCACATTGATGGAACAGCAACAATGCTGTCAGTTATTAAATTAAATAATGCAGTAGTTATTTTGAAGTCGGTCTTTTTTGAAGACGGAGTAAAATGACATTTGTAGAAAAAAATGTAATTGTAAAATTTTAAATAGTTATGTAAATTGTTGTCGATAGTTTTTATCGAAAGATTGTGAAAGAATATAAAATTTTGCTACAAATTACCGAGTTGTAAATGTTACGACGTTGTAATGATTACTATTCGCATTATTGCCTTCTTAATTCTTATTTTGACGCATGACCTACTTTACATATACATTTTAATAAGCATAGCCGGATTTGATTATCTATATTGAATTAAAATGAAAAGCTTTAAAATATGTCTCCCCTATGTATTTTTCATAAACATAGTTCTAAATACAATATATTTATGTATGAACTTACAAATAATGACAATTCAAATGAACTTGTGCTCGGTAATTGGATGAACAATGGGTCGAGGATGATTCAAATGAAACAAGTTTGCTATTTATTCCATAAGCGTGACCAATATTCAGTCGATGGTCGATAGAATATTTATCGACTGCAATCACTGGCTGCTCGCACGCGGGCAACACTTTTGCGTAATGAACTGTCATTTTACTCCGTCTTCAAAAAAGACAGACTGTACATGGCATCATTAGAATTACTTTAAAATCGAACTTCGACCTCCTAAGTCAATAGTTTGTCTTAAGATGCAATAAAACCATTTCCGGAAATCCGGAAATCGAGAAAGTAATTAAACAATATTTGGTGGTTTTAACAACTCTAAGTCGCTCCTTGTAACTATGTCTATACATGTATCCATATATGTGGAACATTGACTTACAATTATATGGACGTCGGGTCCGCGCTAAAAAGTGTCCGAACTTGTAAGGCGTTAAACTCGTATACAGAGCGTCAAACTCCGCTTTAGTCTTCATTTGTTCGACTGACAGCGCGATACTGCGATGACATGACAATTTAAATTCAACGTTTTAGCTTCTTCATATTCCTTTACATGTCACTACGTTTAAATAGGTTGACTTGGGACATTTTTTTCGTGGTTTTTGTATTAGACCCGTCGTCCATTTATTTGTAAGTCAATGATGTGGAACGTTTTTTTCCGACTTCAAGATCAATATCTTCACTTTGTATTTTTTACATAATATTTAGAAGACCTGTATTTTTACTTTGCAATAATTTCTATACATCAAAACGATTATTTAAGGAAATGCTGTTCGAATAAATAACAAATCGCAGCCTAAGTAGTGGCTCTATCCAGTTGTGCTAGTTGATGCGCCAGGCGTTCCTCTCTAGCGCGTCTTGCTTGCCCCAATGCACGTTTTTCTGCGAATTGCGCAATAAATGTTTCGACTGGTATATTACCTGAAAAATAATAGCCTTTTATATACAGGGTAATTTTTTAAATACGAACAACCTCGCTGACTATATTATTAACATCATAAACAACAAGTTTTGTTCTATGACTTTTTACGAAACATTTACCAAAAATAAACTAACATTTTTATTGGTAATGGTGCCGGTTTGAAAGAGTAAAAAGGTGCTGATGAAATTACAGGCACATGGGGCTTGTCAACTTATGTCTCAGGGTGACGGGCGCAGTGGCAGTGTCCCTAAGATCTTTGCGATTTAAATCTCTCAGTGGCACTGCAACAGTTATAGACAGACGTGTCGCTTACCGCCAGGCGCATGACTTGTTCGTCCCGTCATTTCGCCCGTCACCCTGAGACATAAGTTGACAAGTCCCATGTGTCTGTAATTGCACCAGCACCCTTACCCTTCAAAACCGTAACACAGTAACGCTGACATTACTGCTTGGCGGCGGAAATAGATAATGTAGTAGCTAATTGAACATAAATTTAGTTCGAAGTAACAAAGATAGATGGCGCTAAAATCGAATTAAAACGAGCTGTGAAAATGTTAACATCAAATAATGATCGATTTATTTATTGATAGATTCTCAGATGAAATGCTCACATTACTGCCGGCGGCAGAAATTTATTTATTTATTTAATATATTTAATAAAACTATGTTAAATCTTATATTCACCATGTTTTAAGCAAGCAAAATTTCATTTCATAAAATAGATGTCTAACAATTTTGTGCTTTCATAACATTTCCTTTTGTACAATTTTTATAGCTCCCGTTTTGGTAGACAGCAGTCCTTATTTTTAAGGCACCTTATATACGCACCCATGAGGAACTGGTCAGCGATGTGATCAGCATCCTCGTCAGCTCTTAATGCGGCGGCTTTCAGGCATTCGCGGATGCGATGCGGTGCATATGACTCGGCTAGGCGTGCGTGTTTTCTGCGGAAACAAATTTTTTTATCGGTTTATAAACACGTAAATAAATAATACTAAGGAAGTACGTTTATAATCACAAATACGCTACCGACTGTGGCACATATATTTTGAATAGATTAAAAAATATACCTATGGAATTTGATCAGGGCTAAATACACAAATACAATGTGTAAATGTTGGCCAATTACTGAAACTGGTTTTTTTAGCAGCAATGGTTTTTTTTTGGTCTATTTCATAATTTAAAAAATAAGTAACTATTAATTTTAATATATCTACTTTTTGCTATAATTATTAATAACAAAGATCGAACACTTTGGCGCGTGTACGGGCTAAGAAATTCGACGTGTCTGCTACAGAAAAGATAAGAATAATCTTGTACACGACAAGAACTTTGTCGGATCTAGCCACGAAAACATGTCGTGTCTGTTGCAGACGAGAAAATGATGAGTATTGTATACCATCTCACTAGTCTCCCAGAGAACTGTCGTTTTAATATCGACTGTGGGGAGAAATAACAATATGTTGTTGTATTATGTTGATTACTAAGCAACACCCGTCCACGCGCATAAAATCGGGGGTAGACAAGATTTTTTTCTTGTCCGGCGCCGAGGCAGTGTACGCAGTTCGTGTGTAGAAACGACACGAATTTTTGCATAAACCCGGCGACTTTTCTTAGCGTGGACACGCGCCCTTACAAAAACTCATTCGATCCGGTTGGATTTGAACCAGCACCCTCGGGCAATCTGTGCCAGATGCTCTGCCAATTAACCCACCGAACGAACCAGAAGACCTAACGAATTTTTTCTATGTGCTTCTTGCAGATATTTGTTTTTGGTTTTTAACGGCTTTTTTGCCGTAACGCCATCAGTGAGAAATTTTTTTCTTCACTCAGAGATGTACCTTTACAGCTACCATCGCTGACTAGAGATGTCGCTTTAATTATTAAGATAATTCAATTATTTTTTCTGTGAAATTACTCCAGCAGTTTGTTATAATTAAAAATAGCAAAGATCGAACACTTTAATATCATGATAGTAAAACATCGTGACACTCTTTAAAACTTAAAAATTTACTTTATTTTTTAATAAAATTGTATTTCTTCAATTTTTTTTTAACGCACTCATTCAACATAGGCACGAGGGAAACCATGCGTCGCGAAAGCCATGGACACACAAATAGACAACCACAAATTACACTCAAACTCGGGAGATAAGTAAATGTAAGCCATACAAATATTTTTCCCGGTCCGGGAATCGAACCTGGAACTTGTAACCGTTCAGCCATGGAGGCACTTAAATTAATATTAATAAAGTTATACACATTATTCGTCACATTTTCAATTTCTACTGGTGGGTTAATCTAACTGGGGAAAGTACTAACTTATTCAACTCCTCATAGTTCATTTTAAGTTGGACAATTCTTGAAATCCGATCAAGGACTTGAGTCTTCAGATCGTCGAGCATTTGTTGCTTAGAGAGATTATCTTGAGCTATGTCTTCGATGCTGGACATAAGTTCTTCTGTCTCCATGTCTACTTCCATTAGTTGTGGACAGTTTTCTAGGAGTTTGTCCTAGAAAATGGTAAGACAATAAATAAAAAACTGACAATGTGGAAAATAAATAAAATATATCTTATAACACACTAATTTTAATCTCAAACAAGGGAATTCCCTATACTATGCATACCAGAAGGGTTCAGGATTGCGGAACACCCTTATAGTTTCCTACCTTGATTCAATAGAAACTCCGTCAGTAAACCTCAGAGCAGTAGGTCCTATGCATTCACCAAAGGAATATATACATAGCCCTAACCAAAATAATACAATAACTTGAACCTAAGAAAATGTGATGCCTTGAGAAGGAAAACTTATGCAGTAGTTACAAATCTTTTGATATTGATCTTCAAATTCTAAATTGAAATATACTTGTTTTTACCGCGACTACTGGCGGATTATGTCTGTACTACTAATGTGCGGCGTACCATATCGTATTAACATTATTAGATTTTACTGTCGTGGTCCACGCCACATACGTTAGATGGCGCTATTTTGTTGATTATTCATAACAAAGCCGTCAAGAGGATGTCTAACTTTTACTACAAATTGGCTGTGCATACTATGCTATGACTGCCTGACAATAAGCGGTTTAATTGCAACACTCGTCCACACATTGAACACACACACTAAATACAGTACACAAGTACTTCCCTGGACGAAATCAAAATAAAAAAAAAAGGCAAAATAGGCTTAAAAGCTGAGTGATAAGTCACAACACACACTCAACACAGATACATACACACCATGCCCTATTTGTATGATTTCAATATATAAACATAGTTAAAACGGTCAACAGACTGAGAAAATAAAAACATAATAATAATACCTGTAAATCACAATTCTGCAAAATCTCCTGTAGTTCATCAATGCTCAACTCAGCCAGATCCGGAATTAATAGTGAGTGCGCACTAATATGAGATTGTGGACTCTCAATGCACTTCTCATCACTTAGATTTGGTAATGACTTCTGGAACTCCCTTATAATTGCCTGTACTACTCTTCCTAAGTCAGAATGTTGTGTGTAGTTCAATAAACCTGGTGCTCCCATGACCTATAATCAATAATTTACTAAGAAAGTAATTGTTTAATCGGTAACAATGAGCCGTGACAAGATCCAGTTAAATCTAGTGACAGAAGGAGGGGCTAGGAAGTGCAAAGGATATGAAGGTGAGTTAGAGAGAGAGAGTAAAATTCACTGCAGCCTAGATTTAACCTGAACAAGTTGTGCGCCTGATGGTAACATGGACAGTTGTTAAATAGTGCCACTATTTTTCTTTGTGGCATATTGCTCATATTGATTGAATATAATAATTGCGCTGGCAAATGATCCTGTCAACATTCTTGTATAAAAGAAAGTACGGCTATGACAGTAGTAGGATGGTTGCTGTAATATCATATTGAATTAGTACTTGGTTAAAACTTGTCCTGACAAATACTTGTTATCTCCTCATACAAAAAGTTACTGTCCAGTCTTAATATAATCTCCATAAATGTGTGTGTGTAAATCATTCAATTTTGGCAACAGGTTGTTGATACTTCTCTATATAAAAGCACTTGGACATCGCGAAATAAAAAAGCAAAATAGGGAAGAAAAAATAGCAAAATTGTAAAGTTTGTAGCTGGTTTTTAAGGTCCATATTGCGAATGTTTAATTTTAAACTAAACGCGGTTACTATCCATGAGTGGATTAATGTGAAATCCTATAAATGATATTAAGAAGCCCATTCTACATTTTAGAACTTGAAATCCATGCTAAGGTTTCACACAGAACTTAGACTGGCTTTAAAATTTTAAAATTACCCATTTAAGTTCAAGGATCCACTAATATTTGCAGTGCGGACTCTGATATGATTTCAATAATTAAATTATGTCAGTAGACTCTTCTATCCCGACCAATTCCCCACTGAGTAGCGGGTGTCCCAAAAGTAAAGGTTGATTCTTTCTGATACTTTATAAAAATTAAAAATGAAGTAAACATAAATTGTTCACCACCTTAGTATTTTTAAATGGTTGGTTAACTAAGTTATTTCATTTTAAGTTCTAAAAGTTTAATTGTAAAATATTTACCACCGAAAGTGAACGTAGTCCTCCGTTTTCTTAAAAGGTTAGCAATGGAAATGCTTCCATTTTCAAAGGGTAAGAAGGGTGCTGGTGAAGGACTTGTTATCTGAGAGTGATGTTCGCAATGGCAACTCAGTACACTTCTTCAACGTGCTGATGTTATCACATTGTTTTCGTACATTGAAAAGCTCATAGTAAATTTAAAATTAAATTTTGCATATATATTCTGAAAATCACACAGGCACAAGCCCACATTCGAAACCACAACCACTGATTGAGACGGTTGGTCAACCCATTAGACTACCACAGCTTTGAAATGAAAGAATACTACGAATAAGTATTTACAAAGAAAACACATCCTCAATACCTGATTAGAATTTTCACCCAACCATGGGTGCGGAATTGCGGGATTGACGAATATACAAGGCTTTTCATTTGGAAACTCAGGGCTCAATATCACGTTTAGGCTCATATTTTTGCCGTTTGCTGCAAAATCGAGTCTGTACTCGGAGTTTTCTGTGATTTCAGTTACATTGTCGTTGAAGATTTTTAACGTATCAATTTGGCGTTTTCTCGCGTCCTCGTCTGTGTAATAGCCTCGGGACAGCATTTTTGCTGTTCCTTTTTTCTGTTGAAAACAATTTTGCTCTATTACAACTGATTTGAAAGATAAAAACCTCAAAAAACACTTTCAATTTCGACACGTATTCTTGGACATGTTTTATAGTTATTCACTAACACCAATTAGAAATAATGTAGAAAATTAACATACCTTTACTTTGAAATAGTAATTTTTAGTAAAAATCTATTTATTTCCTTTGAAAGTGCTTCACAAAAATTCTTCAGTTATTGCAAATAATTTGCAATCAATACAAACAATAATAAAGTTTCGTTCGTTTTCGTTTACTTCTATCATATTGATTTTCGTGGTCGCGAAAATGTGTAGCCTCTTATTGGATGGTTTTGTTCAGGTTTGTCTGTTCAACCAATAACAAACGAGTATTTGAGCAAAAACATAAAACCAAATTGCGTACGCAACGAGATCGAATTTGATATTATGTCTATAGAAATGTCAAATTGACGTATAAAACGCCTATTGTAAATTTTAGAGCAATGTTCCTAATACGTACAAAACAAAAGTGTATGTTGCATTATTTTTTAGGCATTTTCTAAATTCTTTCTTTACGACACTTTACGTACGTATATTTTGTAACTAACAAGCGCTGAAAACACTTGATCATCAGCGCGCATGACATTTGATACCTGTCACTTTTTTTAATCAGATGGTACCTTTTTTTATTGTTTACATTACGGGCGGCGATAAGACACGTATAATATAAACACTTGAAACTCAAGAACCTATTAAGTTACCGTAAAACGAATAACATGGGCGATAAGAGCACTTAATTAGCTTTTGTTTAGACTACAGTTATGTGTTAATTTCGGAGTACACTGAACACTTCCGACAAATTTTCATAGTATTTTACGCTTTAACTTCTAATCACTTTGTATATTCACTGTATTAAGAAACAAAACATACATAAAGATGACAAGCATTTCAATACCTGTCGATTAACACTAGAATCATATGAATATAATTTGTAACTATTTTTAAAATAAATTAATAACAGTCGCGGGTAGCGACGAAAATTGTACTACAGCATAGGTAATGATTTCTGCCGCCAAGAAGTAGTGTGAGCATTACTGCGTTCCGGTTTTGAAGGGTACGGGTGCTGGTGAAATTACAGGCACGCACGTGGGACTTGTCAAGTTATGTCTTAGATGTCGGGCGCAGTGGCAATCCCGCTCAGATCTTTGTGATTTTATAGCTCTGCTGGCTTACCATCAGGCGCACGACTTGTTTATTTACTTATTTATTACTCAAATAGATTTTTTTTGTTTAATTGTTGTTTGTGTCCAATTTGATTTACTTAATGCCTAATAGTCTACAATTATTTGACGTGTAAGTTTGGTATTACGCTTTTTAAACATTGACTTACAAATAAATGGACGACGGGTCTAATACAAAAAACCACGAAAAAAATGTCCCAAGTCAACCTATTTAAACGTAGTGACATGTAAAGGAATTTGAAAAAGCTAAAACGTTGAATTTAAATTATAATGTCATCGCAGTACTGTCTAATTTTGCTTGCTTCGCCGTCAGTCGAACAAACGAAGACTAAAGCGTGAATGACGCTCTGTATACGATTTTAACGCCCTATAAGTTCGGACACTTTTTAGCGCGTAGTCAATATAATTGTAAGTCAATGTTTTTAAATTACTTATTTATTACTGAAATTCAATACTTACTTTGTCTAATTGTCACTTACGTCAAAATTTATTCACTTTGTGACGGTGTGACCTCCTTACACCGTCTTTTTTAAATTCTTTCTGTAGTCTTCGTTTAAATTTGAATTGTTCCATCTTCCTTCGCTTTCTCATTTTTGCTTCGTACCACAGTCACTCTCTGCTTGACCGCGATAGCGGACAGAAGTACTAAATCAAATTATCAAATTTTTTATTCTATTCAAGTTTAATCATAATACAATCAATTTAAATCATGCATCGACCATTATGAGCGAATAACGGTCTATACAATATCTGTAATTCAACATAATAAAACCCGATAAGGGATAAGTGCCTAAATCTAACATCTAACATTATTTGGGTTAAGTTAAGTGTTTTTTTTATTAATGTACTGTTTTCTACATCTACCTTTTATTTGTTACAGTTTTTTTTTATTTTACCATTTACTTCACGTTAAATAAATTTGTGAACCGGAAGTTTCCTATTACTGCCGTAATCCTGATCACGGTTTTTAGGGTTACAACCCTTTCAACTTAGTGCCTAAATGTCTACAGTTATTTTAATTTGGATTTTTTTTTTTGTGTGCATAATATGTAACATAAAGGTACATTATATTATTTGCATTGTGGTGTTCATTATGACGGGCCATGGAAGAATAACAGCGAGGCTATGTAATTAGCATAGTCCTCAGAGGCCAGAAGGCTAAGTCATGGGCTCTTTTGACATGCTCCTTTTTTATTTTTTCTGCTTCCCTTTTATTACAAATGCTAGTAAATTAATTTGCTACTCCGCGAACCAGTGAAGGTTTAATCGTGCAAATCAGCTGCGCTTGTGTTGAATATTTTTCATGCAGTTAATTTTCAACACAAGCGCAGCTATTTTGCACAATTTAAACTTCACTGGTTCGCGGAATAGCAAATAAATTTACTTCCATTCCGCACGGACTTCCGCAAAGTAACGCATTAATTTTTAATTTTAATTGAATTTATTTTTATTATTACTGTTTTTTTATTTTGTTTGATAAAGCCTATTTTTATGTTCCGTTCCGTTGTCCCGTCACTGTTAGTTTTTTTTAATTAATAATTTTGGCTTGGATACACGTCCTTTGAGCCATATCTTCGTTTAATTATGTTTCTGTAAATATGGCCGCCACAAAGAGGATAGGCAATTTGAAGCGGCGTGTTTGGATTGACTCGAAATTCCTTAAGACGGGCCGATACGGGTATTTTAGTTCGAGATTCGTATAATTTCGCGTTTTAATCTTCGATTAAGGCACAATAACACTATCCTATTCCACTTTAAACTAGATTTCACAAAATAATTGAAAGTCAAAATAAAAACGACACTTTTCCCTCCAAAAGGCCTAGAACGAATCTCACTATTAGTTATTTTAAAAACAAATATAGAGATGTATACTCAGCTGCGGAATATATAATAGGTTAATAGAGACCCAGCGTTGCACTTAAACGTTTTTTTATGAAACCGGTTCACTTTCTTCGAACTGGGGGCAATCACCTGCCGTGACGTCACACCGTCGATCATAAACTGGGTCAGTTGTAAGATGTTTTTTCTATAAAATCCATACGACTGGCCGGCGCGTAAGCGACTTCTTCACATTTACGTGTAAAACCATCCACTTACATCACTTTCGTATGCAATTGCACGATTTAATTCCGCATTCCCCTTAACATCATCAGGGAACTACGTGTAGGGTTAGGGTTAGGGGAAATTCCAAAAAATTATATGAAGTGTTACGCTTCCACATTTATATAGCGAAACAGCTATGAAGTTGTTCCCTGAACGGTATAATTTGGACCTTTTCAAAGCGAGAGTTAGGCATTATTTAGATATGTATGCTCCATCGTCCATCTCATCGTCACTTTCCGTCATATGAGGTGGAAATCAAATGCACACTTAATCTTTTATAAAAAAAAATCATTTTTGACATAATATACGGAAAATACGGAAAATAAATAAACAAATTTAGTAGCAGTAGAGCTCCTTGTGAAAGAGTTCGTCCAAGGAAGTACTGCCACCTTACCTATTTCTGCCGCCACGCAGTAATGTGAGCATTGCTGCGTTCCGGGCTCGAAGGGTAAGGGTGCTGGTGAAATTACAGGCACATGGGACTTGTCAAATTATGTCTCAGGGTATTGGGCGCAGTGACAGTGCCTCTCAGATCTTTGTGATTTAAAGTTTTGAGTGGCACTGTAACTGTTATGGACAGGTGTGTAGCATAACATCAGGCGTACGACTTGTTCGACCTGTCACTTGATGTTATAAAAAAAAAATAGCGCAGCAACACTTTTTTATTTCATTTCTTTTTTATTATTTAAAATTGATATTTCTTTTAATAAATTAATAAATTAATTATACTCTGTGGGTTGTAATCGATTCTTATGGAAATATATAATTAATAAAAATCCCTGACAATGCTTTAGAAACAAAATAAATTGCAAATAAGTATAGTCAAGAGCACATCAAGCTTGACACTTTGTACTTTGAACCTTTCTTATCATAAGCGGCATAGAGTTGGATTTAAGTCTTAAGTAAGTCCTACTCGTAAACAACTTAAAAAAATAAGAGAAAAAAATATGTTCAATTTTAATTAGGTACCACACCACCACTAGCCCGTCGCACCATACCATTCTATTATTCCATTATTAAAAATTGTAATTGGACGTAGTTAAGCAAAAAGGATTCAATCCACAAAATTATCAAAAAATGAGTTATATGTAAGTACCGGAACGGTTCTTAAAGTTTAACCTCTTAGATCAGAAAAAAATTCAACAAACAAACGTAAATAAATATTTCTGGAGTTACATGACATTATAAGTTTTGAAAACACTTAAACTTTAAATTGCCATATCTCGAAAGTTACTTGATGCGGATTAGATCCTTTTTGTTTAACTTCGTCCAGTTATTATTTATTGCCGGGCATTATTTTATTTCTTTCATGTATATTATGGTTCATTATTTATTTACTTTAAATTCATAAAAGTATATAATTACAAATTGTTTATATAAAAAAGCCGACCTCTAAAGTCTGTAGAATTACAATTTCACAAGACTCCTGTGCTGCCGTCCACTAATGTGACAAACTAAAGTGACAAGTGGTCAAAAAATATTAAATATTTTGATCGAAAAATCATATTACAAAATTGAAGACTACGTGTTAGATAAAGATGTATGGAAAGACGACATGGCTCTAAAATCCACACAAATTTGATTCAAAGTGTATTCCATGGCATTTAAGTTTATTTGAAAAGAGCAATCCCTAGAGTTTCTTGCTCGTTCTTCTCAGGGAGGTCAGCGTAGTGAACGAGCAGTAGCTTAAATGTGACGTTTTCAAGTGTAAATTTATTTTACCTATGGAATAAATAATCTTTGACTTTGACTTTGACTTGACTTATAATATTTCGTCTAGTGTGTAACGTAACATCGTGTTCTATTTAATTGACATGACTTGAAACTTGAAATTCAAAATAATTATTTGAATTGCATTCTTCTTTTGTCCTTACCTTCATTCATTCTTTGTCGTACCGAATGAAAGAATGAATT